ATCGGAGCCCACTTTTTTCACTTTTTCCACGCAATTAACTCTCCCAATTTCTATAAAGGTTTTAATTTACCGTAATTAACCTAATTAGGGTTTTAATTAGAATTCATTTTAGGGTTCATGAGTTTAGTATTATTTGGGGATTTTGATTTCTAAGGTTTTGGGGTTTAATTGAATTGTAGTTTTTGCTTATTTTAGCATCAATTGACCATTATAATTAAAAAAAATGAAAAATTAGGCCAAAATAACGTTTTAATTGGACGAAAAACGTTAGTAGGTAGTGCTACCCAAATTTTTCCAAACTTGCGGGTAGTTCTAAATAAATAATAAAAAATGGGTAGTTGTTCACAAATAACCCTATCTTTAGAGGAGTTCTACACAAAATTTCCTAAAAATATATTACATTTGCTTATATAAGTTGAAATGGACATAACATTAGTTCGCCTATTTATTTTAGTTTATGTTAATTTCAATTATTAAGTAATAAGGTTTTAAGATAAAAGCTAATCAAACATAACCTAAACTAATACTACATTTTTTAATGGAAATTTTTCAGGTAACACCTTTTAAGTGTGTTTTGTTGTGAGAAAAAACCTTATAATTATTTATTTATTTTGTGAAAACACACCTAATACCAGAAATTATTTGTCAAAAAACACCTTAAGGCAGTTTCCGACGTGTTGATTTGGTTTTACGGTGTTGACTAGTATAGCTACCACAAGGGAGTCACGTGCACCGACTTACCCCCTCCTTTCTAATTTTTTACCCTTTCTTTCCCTCTAACTTTATTTTCTCTCTCCTCTCAATTTCTTCCCCAATTAAACCCCCTACTCTTCCACCCAAACTCCATTGCTCCCCTTTGAAGAAAGTGAACTCCAAATTTGAGCTCCAATTTCTGCAAATATACTCAATTGGCATAATTACGAGGCAGGTAAGTAGCATTAATTAAAGACTTATTCCATTAATTTTGTTGATTTTGCGAATTATCATAAGTTAGGGTTTTAAATTGGAATTAGGGTTTTTTTATTTAGGGATCGATTAATCTTAGCAATGTTCTATAGGATAGAGGTAGCAGTAATGCCAAGGCTTCCCTTTTTTACCCATGGCAGACACAAAGAAAAGGACAGAGAAATTTAGGCAAGTACTCAAACAAAAATTGAGTAACAAATGAAAGGAGAGAGAAATTTTTACACTGACCCAATTCCTTGGCGAATTTAAACCACGAAAATTGAAGCATTCAATTCGTCACTGCCATGGCCAAGCAACTTCCAGAAGCTTTTAATGGTGATGTGAGCATCAACACAGAGAGAAGTAATTGAGAGGAGAGAGAAAGAAATTGAGAGGAGAGAGATAATAGAGTTGAAGGGAAAAGGGTAAAAAAAAATTAGAAGGGAAGGGGGTAAATCGGCGCACGTGACTCACACGTGGTGGTCAACGCCGTGAAACCAAGTCAACACGCTTGAAACCACCCTTAGGTGTTATTTTACAAATAATTTCTGGTATTAGGTGTGTTTTCACAGAAAAAAATATTTATAAGGTGTTTTCTCACAACAAATCACACTTAAAAGGTGTTATCTGACAAAATTTCCTTTTTTAATTTGTATGTGAAACACTTTTTATAAACGACTTTAGTTTGATTGCTATCCTTCCTCATTTGAAAATCTTTTACAAAGCACTAATTTTTAATAACAATATGGAAAACAAAATTAAAGTAAAACTCTATTTTTCCTATTGCCTTTTATAAAGCCTAATAAAATTTCTCATGTAAACCTACATGTTTTTATGAGTTAAGTATAAATTTGGGGACTAATCTTTTCAAATTTTCACCTTTTGGGACCTTTCACTTTTTTTCACCGTTTGGGACCTCAAGGGTGGAATCCACCCAAAAAGTGAGTCCCTTGGGTTAAATAAGTTAGCCCCTTGGGTTAAATAAGTTAGTCCCCTAAAAACGTTCAAAAAGAAATCAAATCAGCTCAAAAATGTTAGTCCCGTCATTATTACTTTTGCATATTGATTGGATGGCGGTGTATCAAACAAGGACACGTGTGCACGAGAAAGGAAAACCTTATGCTCCAAGCTTTGTAAAGTGGTCAAGATTTACAACAGTTCAGATGTACTAACGAGGTATTTTTCTACCAAACACTAATTCATTACTTGTACATATACATTACAACAATCACCATAACTAGACTTACGGTTTGTTTGGATAAAGAAAAGGGATGGAAAAGAAGGGGAGGGGGAGAAGAGGAGGGGAGGGAAAGGGAGGGGAGGGGAAGAAGGATGTTTTTTCCTTCCAAATCTCTCCATTGTTGGAGGGATCAATTTCCTACAATTTAATCCTTCCATTTCTCTCCCCTCCAATTTCCTCCCTTCCTCATTTCCTATCCAAATGAAAGATACTCCATTTCTCTTCCCTTCCTTTCTCTCCATTTCCTTCAATCCAAACACACCATTAAGATTACAATCCTATAAAATGAAACATGATTCTTCTTGATTTCTTCCCTTTCATGCAGCCTGTCATTGCTTTGTATCACTTTGATCATTTCATTTTTCACCTCTCATTCATAACTGTAATTTTGGCATGTATGAAATCTCCTAAAAGGATTTCTGGTTATTCTTGAAATTGTTCAAGCAACCCTTCTTAAACATCTGCAGAAAATTGTAACACTAGCCATTCCTATTTTCTTGCAAAGATTGGAGAATACGAAGGAATTGTGGGTTGCTGCTACTGTTCTTTTTGGATTATTTTTTTTAAAAATTAAACGCTTAGTAGAATATTGCTGCAACTTTATTTTGTTGGGTTTTAATTTCTATTGAATATTTGGATAATATACTCTTGTTTTGGATATGCATGCTAATTTATGAAGGGACTGACTTATTTTGTACAAAAGTTAATTAGGGGAATGACCTTTTTTTTTACCAAGAACTGAAATAAGGGACTCACTTTTTCTCCGGTGAGTTAAAGGTTAAATTACCGAAAACTTTAATAGATGTCCCAAAAGGTGAAAAAAAAAATGTGGGAGGTCCCAAAAGGTAAAAAAAAAAAAAAGAAAAAGAAAGGTTAGACCCTAGTATTATACTTAACTAAGGTTTTTATGAATAAATATAAAATATATATCAGTTTAGTTCAAGACTTCTTGATAAGGATTTAGGCTCCGTTCACTTCACCTTATTTTTGTTGAACTAAAATTATTTTTATTAAACTGAAATTATTTTTGCTAAATTTAAATTATTTTCACTAAATTGAAATTATTTTGACTGATTTTCTATTATATTTCTTCATTAGGTTAACCGATTTTTACCGAACTGAAATTATTTTTACTAAACTGAAATTGTTTTTGCTGAACTGAACTTATTTTTTAAGAACTGAAATTAATTTTACTGAACTAAAATTACTTTTACTGAATATTTTTTTTTGAGGTGAAGTAACAGGGCCTTCAAGTGAATTACACTAGAGACCGGATAAAAATAAATGAATACATTTCTTAACTTGAAGATCAAACGAGTACTCTACTACTCGTCTTTCCAATTTGAACAATTTTTCCAATCTAGATCAATTTTTGATCATCTTTGAGGCCTCGTTCACTTCATCTTAATTTTGCTGAACTAAAATTATTTTTACTGAACTAAAATTATTTTTGCTGATCTTTAATTATTTTTACTAGAACTAGAATTAATTTTACTGAACTGAAATTATTTTTGCTGAACTGAAATTATTTTATTTACTGAACTGAACTTATTATTATTGAACTAAAATTATTTTTAGGCCCGGTTAACTTCACCTTATTTTTGCTGAACTAAAATTATTTTTACTGATTTGATATTATTTTTGCTGAATTGAATTTATTTTTACTAAATGTATGTTATATTTCTTCTTTGAAGTTACTGATTTTTACTGAACTGAAATTATTTTTACGGAAGTGAAATTAATTTTACTAAACTGAACTTATTTTTACTGAACTGAAATTATTTTTACTAAATATTATTTTTTTTTACGTAAAGTGAACAGGGCCTTACTGAACTGAAATTATTTTTACTGTTTTTTTTAAGGTGAAGTGATTAAGGCCTAAGTGAGATAATGTATTGACAAACGTAAAATGAGAATCATTGCAAGTAAAAAAAATATATAATAGAAGAATTAAATAGAAAGAATATGGTGAATTATATATTCCAAGAAACTGCAATTGTTTTTTATTATTTACGACCTTTGTATTTTTAGTTGACACCTTTCTTTTATCGCGCTTGCCAACGCATGCTGTTAACGGTTAATATGTCTAATTATCAACATTGTAAAATTATAAAAAGAGAATTTTAATATAATGTACATTGAGACAATTCAAACAAGATCCACATGACTGTATTTTATCGTATCTATAAATCATAAAAATGAGTCAAAGTGTAGTGTGAGAATAGCGTAAAAGTCAAATGGTGTCAACAAAAAAAAATTGGAGGTAGCATAATTTATTGGAAAATTTGTTTGAAAGGGACTAATATATTAACTATTTTGTCTGGAACGACCTTTTATGTTGAAAGTTGTCTAAAAGGACTTTATAAGTATATTTTGATGTTTATAAGGACCTTGACATCGGAATACGGCGTTTAACTTTGATTCTCCGGCGTTGACCCCCACTTGCATGTCACGTGACATTAAAAAAAATTACCCTCTCCCTTTTTTTCCCGTTTTCCCTCCAACCCCAGTCTTCAAAACACTAGCAAAGTCAAACGCCGGATTCCAATGTTAAGGGGAAAAAAAGGGAGAAGGTATTTTTTTTTAATGCCATGTGACATGCACGTGGGGGGTCAATGCCGGAGAATCAAAATCAAATGCCGAATTCCTATGTCAAGGTCCTTCCAAACAATAAAACATACTTATAAGGTCCTTTTAGACAACTTTCATCATATAAGGTCATTCCAAACAAAATAGTGAATATATAAGTCCTTTCCAGACAAATTTTCCTAATTTATTACACTCAAATAAGTGATATAACTTGAGCAACTTATGTACGAGGAAAAACTATAACATGATATAATTGATCGGTATGATTCAAATCAACATAGCTAACTTTGAAGCAAGTTTGACCCAAACACCCGAATAGACAACTCTAATCATAAATAGTACGGAGCATTTTGTGTCACGTAGCGGTAGAATCCATCAGTGTTTCTCTTTGCTTCTTGAAGGACAAAAACATTTGGTGCTGATCAGGGATATTGCTCTTGATAATTGGTACATCCTTTAAGTTGTTAAACCAATTATACAAGCTTGGGAAAGTAGTGCCTTCAAATAACTTGATTTCCAATACTTGCTCAATAACTTCCAACCAATGTATTACACTGGCAACTGCAAGATCTGCTAGTCCAACATTTTCACCTCCAAAAAATGTATTAGTTCCTAGATTACCATGCTCTTCTAATGTTTCTAGCATGTTAAAGCACTCTTTCTTAGCTTTGGCTTGGTCCTCCCCTGTGGTTCGAAATAGTATCCAGATAACTATGCCCTGCAATATTGTTTGTCACAATAATTACATGATTAGTCCCTTTGCGGCGTGTGCTACACTTAAAAGGTAAAAGACTAAAGATTAGATTTAAAGATGACATGAATATGGGATTAACACAAGCACACCATGACACGCTATTTTGTTTGCCAGGCCTTGAGACAATTTTCTTATGGAAATGCACGACAAAGTATGACCTAACAATCACACTAACATGCTAAAATAAAGTTAAATTTGGCTTACGCAAGCAAATACTACGTACGCGGTAGCAAAACACGGTGGCACGTGAATATCAATTGTTTTTTTACCGCCCTTTTAGATTGCTTTGATATAACACGTATATAACTATTGGGTTAGCTAGACACAATCCACGATAATCATCTTTATAAATCAAATCGATGTTGTTTCCAAAAGTTTAAAATGGACTCTAACCAATTACTACCTTCATCTCAAAATAACTGAGACGTTGAACTTTATTTCACTATTTATATATTAATTTTGAGTATAATTTTTTACTAACACAATATAAAATATATTTTGTCATAAAACATATTGTTAGATAGGTATTATATAAAGTTTCATAATATAAATTTTATAATAATTTTCATTAATATTTATTATGTAAAAATAAGGTCAAACTAGTGTATCGATGTATGTGCAAAAAGTTGAATGTGTAAGCTATTCTGAGACAGACCACTACGCTAAGACCAACTTGGTTGGTTGACAATTTGACATGTTATTGTTCCAACATCTCCACATCGAGATCAAAGAACTTCCAAGCAAAAATATTTGATAGAATACATACATCATAGATTCATAGTATGAACAAAGTTAAGAATTGTACCTTTTCATCGGCAAATTTGGCCCAAAATCTAACCATTGCTCTTTCATAAGGCTCCTTGGGTAATAATGGATGTTGATGAGGCCAAATTTCTTCAACGTACTCAAGAATAACTAAGGATTCACATATTGGTTTTTCATTGTGAACTAAAACTGGGATTTTCTTATGAACTGGATTGTATTGTAGAAGCAATGAACTTTTATTAGCAAGATCTTCTTCAATATAATCATATTTTATGCCTTTTAATTCAAGTACCCAAATCACTCTATAGCTGAATGGGCTTGGCAAAGTTCCAAACAGCTTTACATTTTCCATGATTTATTGAGAAGAATACAAATATTGAAATACTAGTATATGATTTACAATTATGTTATAATTTGATACTCTTGAGTTTGAACTTTAAACTCATTGAATGGGGTGTTTTATAGTGTGATTAAGAACAATAAGTTTAATTAATAGAAGTTTACTTGAGTGAAACATCTAAGAAGGTGCTTAAAATTTTTTTAATTAATCGTTTCTTCGGCATGACTTTTTGACTTTGAATTAAGGTTTGGTTATGTTTTTTTATACTGTGAAATATTATTGTCACCATCAATCCCTAAGCAAATGACCAAGTTTGATTGAGATTACTTTGAAAGGATGTATTAATAACTCAATGTGTAACACTAATGAAGGTGAATGAGTTCATATCATCACTTAAAATATTATGGTAGTCAAAAAAAATTTAAAATTGGTCGGTTGTGATTAATGATTCTTGATTTATTTTTAAATACTCCCTCCATCCTTTTATTAGAGACCTGTATTTCATTTTTGGCAAATCTTAATTAAAGATCTATTTCTATTTTAAAATTGTACTATTTGAGAATATTCTCCACATTTTGATGAATCGTTATAACTTTTTTGTACAGTAATAATAATAACTTTTTACATTAATTTTCAACACTTTTTTTCTCTCTCTCTCTCTCTTCCGTTATTCCCAACCACCTTTTTGTTTCTCCTCTATACCCCTCTAACCACACATGCACTTATGTACTTCCACCAACTTTCTTAATTTCCGTGACAAAACCAAATATTTGATTAACATTCATTTTTCTTATTTTAGGAATTCATTTTAAATTTTTTTGAAAATGAATTATTACATTTTTTTTAAATTAATTTATGAAATTTAGTTTTAATTATTTAAAATCAGAAAATTAACTTTTTGTCCACGAAATAATTAAATTGATTTTTAACTAATATTACATTTAAAAAGTTATTTCAAAAATAAATATTACATTTAAAAATAATTCAATATCATTAAATATAACCGTTCATTTTTCAAAGTTATGGTTGTCATAAAAAACACCTAGCCTCTCCTCTCGTTTCTTAGGTTGAATTAATGTCTCGCTCGAAAGAAAGGACTTAGAGTCTGTTCACATTTACTAAAGTTCAGTTCAGTTCAACTCCAATCAGTTCAGTTAAGTTCAGTTCAGCTCTAATCAGTTCAGTTCAATTCAGCTCTTAATTTCCATCTCTCGTAAAATATTCATTTCAGCTCTGTTCAGCTCAGTTCAGTTCAGTTCAGCTCCAATTAGTTGAGTTCAGTTTAGTTCAGTTCAGTTTAGTTCAGTTCAACTTAGTTCAGTAAATGTAAACAGGCCCTTATCTCATTCAAAAGACAGGGTATTTCCAATCTCCTTCAAAAGACAAGGTTAATCTCATTCGAAATATAAGGTTTTATTTGCGTTTAATATGGACTCTAGTTGTGCGGGGTTACGATTGGTTATTGTGCGGATTCAGATTACGAAATCTCATTCTAAAGCGCATGCATGTCTCTAGAGAAGAAAATATAGCTGCAAATTGGTTAGCTAAGGTATATAACAATTGTTGATCCAAAATATCAAGCCGAAAGCCGAAAATATCAAAGCTTGTTTATGCTACGGAGCACGGAGTAAAAAACATATAAACAATGTGGCTTGCGTTCTACATTAATTTATCGATAAGAAGTTATAAACTTTTTCTTTATTTAAGAAGTTATTAAAACTTATATCTTTATGTTCATTATATTCCCCTACATATACTATCCCGTTAGAGTAGAGCATGGGCATGTAACTCTAAATAAACATAATTTCCCCTTTCTTCATATATTTCTTCTTGGATGAGTTAATTAAATTTCACTTTTTTTAATGCAAGAGATGAGTTAATTCAATGTCTTATGAACCTAGTTAATACCATGTATGTTTAATTAATTATCAATTAAAACATTAATATGATGGAGTCCGTTATCTCCTTAAATAATCTTAAGTGTTACAAAGTTAAAAACTTAGTTTAAAGTAATAATGTTGCAACTTATATGTAGGATTCTAACCTCATGAAACATTTTCATCGTCTCACCTTAGAGTTTCATCATGTCATCAATTCAACCAACAAATTGTTGTTGATTGAACAAGACTTTTGATGAGCATCGTTGGGTTATGCAAGTTCAACAAATGATCGATGAAGAAATCGAAGAAGACGATGGAGACATCCATGTATCCATATTCAATGTCCCTAATGCCTTAAGGGATATAAATCCTAAAGCTTACACTCCTCAATTGGTTGCTCTCGGTCCTTATCATTATCGACGTTTTGAGCTTCAAGAAATGGAGAGATACAAAGTTTCTTCAGCGAAAAGGTTTCAAAATCGAAAGCAAAGCACCAAATTGCACACCATTGTAGATCAATTGATAATGCTCGATCATAGAATTCGAGCATGCTATCACAAATATTTAGACATTAGTAGAGAAACTTTAGCATGGATGATGGCTATCGACTCTGCCTTTTTACTTGAGATTATTGACATTTATAGCAACAAAGAAGGAAAGTTTTTCTGTCAAACTTCTTCCAAGATTGTTGATTTTGCAAGAAGGAAATCCGTATATAACACTATATTAAGGGATATTATGATGTTGGAAAACCAAATTCCTCTGTTTGTCCTAAGAAAAATTTCGAACTATTGGTTTCAATCTTCAAATATGGTTGATGAAATATTGGATGATATTCTAGTTGGCTTATGTAAAGATGTTTCTCCTTTCAAAATGATGAATTGGGCACAAATTCAACACTCTTCTTGTGCACACATTCTAGAATTTTTGTACAAAAATCTGGTTCCTAAAGTTGAAGAAATGGTTGAAATCGACGAAAATGTTAATCGAGGCATCAATGAGGAAAGAAAGTTATGTAAGTTATTTTCACAACTCAAGGAGTCCTTGCATCAAATCCCACTTAAATCCGTCTTCAAATTACCCTGGATTTTCATTTGTAGCCTTCCTGGATTCGCCATTTTGTCTGCTGTTGTTTTGCCTAAGGAAAATAAGTTCGATGATCCTACTAACACCAAATCTACTCAAAACAACATGCCACCTTTAGTTGAAGAAATGATCCCATCTGTCATTGAACTTTCAAAATCCGGGGTCACATTTTTGCCTAATAATGGAGATATAATGAGTATTAATTATGATCAAAAGAGTAAGAAGTTCTATCTCCCAACCATTAGTATAGATGATAACACCGAGGTTATTCTACGAAACCTAGTAGCATTTGAGGCATCAAGCACTTTAGGTCCATTAGTTTTTACTCGTTACACCGAGTTAATGAATGGCATTATTGATACAAAAGACGATGTAAGGCTCTTAAGAGAAGAAGGGATTATACTCAACTACTTGAAAAGTGATGAAGAGGTTGCTAATCTTTGGAATGGGATGAGCAAGTCATTGAGATTAACAAGAGTATCTTTCTTGGATGAAGTCATTGATAATGTCAATAGGTATTATGAAGGGAATTGGAAGGTCCTATTAAGCAGATTTATGAGGGCATATTTAATCAATTCTTGGCAATTTTTGGTATTCATAGTAGCTGCTTTAGTCTTGTCAATGTTGATATTACAAGTATTAGGCTCCCTCTTGTACAATCCTCGCATGGTTGGTCCACATCCACAAGGATGAATATAGCCAATTTGATTAATTTCATGTTGTTTAATTAGAAGCTAATGTTTTCATTATATATATTAGTTTTTTTGCCTAGGAGTTGGTTAACAACTTTTACATAGAAAATAAAATGTAACCGTACTATTGCACGAGCTATGTAGTTTATGAACATTACATCTAAATTTAAGACGTTAATGAAAAAAGTAATTGAATATGGTAGTTACTTGAGCTTGTTGAATTGAATTGAAAAAACCCAATATGATGGAGTTTGTAGAATTTAAGGATTAAGCTATCCAAAGTTTGTATTTAAAATACTAGTACAATAACATAAATTGGCGTAGCAGTTCAAAACATGGGCAACAGTTTTAAACCGCGGGCACTCAAGGGGTCGTGCCATTACCCCCTTTAAATAGGCAGCGGTTCAAACTGCTTCCCATTTGTTGAGAATGGGCAGCAGTTCAACACCTAATTATATATTTAACTAATGAGTAGCTCGAGCTTTGCCCCACATTGCTACTTTTGTAATCGTGCAATTGGAATATATATTTTTTTAAGGATGTTAAAATTCGAGATTTTTTTTTTTAAGGATGTTGAAATCTGAAGTTGACATTATTAAAATTTGTTTTTTTTTTTAATAATGAAATCATGTGATTTACTCTTATGTACTTTTCTTTTTCATTTTTATAACATGCTTAATTATGGGCTATGATGGCATGGTTAGATAACCAACTTTGTTATAAGTGGTTAAGAGTGGCGTAATATAAAAGGATTTACTAGATTGATATTTACTACGTTTATTTTTCAGTCATATCAAAATTGCCCAATGTAACTGAATAAATGCTCTAAGGAGAGTTGACTTGCGTTGACTTTCTCTCTTCACTCTCTTCTCCATGGTTCTTCATCTTTGATTGGTTTCTTCATCAATTTTGGATTTCAATGGCTAAGAAGAAGAAGCAGGCTATTTCTACACCTCAAGTAGCGCAACAAAAGACTGCTCATGAAGCTTTTGATTCGATATTGCAGAATTTGAGAAACTCAGGCACATCTTTCGTTCCTAGTCCGATTCAAGAGGTGGATGAATTGGTTACTCCGGCGCCGGCGTTAGTGCATCCAGCTTGTGGAGCTAATCCCAGAAGTGATGCTGAGACCATTGCTCTCTTTGCTGAAGCTACTGCTAGGCCGGATTTAAGACAATCCAATGGAACAGTACCTAGGGTTTCTGGGTTTACTGTTCCATTGGATGCTGGTGGATCTGAGCATTGTGCTGAGCCAGGAAGTCATCCTCGCCATTCCTCACCCTCTCTGGAGCAGAACACGCACAAGAATAGTGAGGATCGGGCTGCTTCTTCCCCTGCTCTGGAGCTGAATTCGCGCAAAATCAATGAGGATCGAGCTGCTCCTTGTAGACACCTAAAAATGTCTCCCCAAAACCAAACTCGATGATGAACAACCTTTCACCGCCATTATTGGTCGGGTTGAGTATTTAATCTTTGG